GTTGGTGCATCCGCGGCCCATGAGCTCTAACATAGTCAATGTGGTTAGTTGGGCTAGGGCCTGGGCCTGATTTCGAAGAATTGCTTTGGGCCAAAATTGTCTGAGCCCGAAATCATTTTTCATTTCCTGCAACCAGAGACGCCATGCCTCGCACCCACACCGGAGAGGAGAAATTACACAATTTCACATCATTCTGTCTCTCGCCGTGAATCGTAGAAAACGGAATCAAAGATGGGAAAGGATCGAAATGGTTCCCGAAGCTCTAATGATGAAGAAACCGAAACAGCATCTTACAGAAAATCGAAATCTAGAGCCGGTGGCGGTGACGATTCCGATTCTGAACCCCAAAGCGCAGGGAAGAAGCAGAAAGAAGGGAAAAGTGATAAAGAGAGAAGGCGAAAATCAAGGAAACGATACAGCAGCAGCGAGGATGAAGATTCGTATTCGGATTCGGAATCGGAGTATTCAGATTCGGAGGAGAGTGGTAGTGATGAAAGCGTGAGCGAGAGCGAGAGTGAGGATGAGAGGAGGAGGAAGAGGAAGAGAAGAGAGAGGGAGGACAGAGAGAGAAAAAGGAGGAAGGAGAAGGAAAGGAAGCGGAAAAGGAAGGAAAAGGAGAGGGAGGAGGAAAGGAAGAGAAAGAAGAGGAAAGAGAAGGAGAGGAAAGAAAGGAAGAAGCAGAAGAAGAAGGAGAAGTTAGAAAGAGGGAAGACAGGAGCTGTCACTAATTCTTGGGGCAAGTATGGTGTCATTAGAGAAACTGACATGTGGTAATGTGCTTTTCTATCCATCAATATTGCTTGCAATGTCTGAAATCTTCTGTGTACATAACTATACATGTAGAAGTAATTGTGTAAGAACAGATTGTTAAATTTATAGGAGATTGATAGAGTGAGGAAACAAGAGTATTGACATTGCTGGGCTTTTGATATGGGAAAATGGGACACCTTTACATTAATACAAATGCTTGTTTGATGAACGAAAATCTGAAGGTGAATTGAATTATATAAGTATAGTTTGGGACAGCTTTACTTTTTATGTTGCTTCGGTCCTCAAAATTAGAAATTCAATTGAATTATATTATTAGTTTTGAGGATCCAACGTAATTGAGCTTCTCGTTATTTTGATGTGAAATATGCTTTGGATATAACTTATAAGTTTGTGTGTTCTGAATCTCTTTAATTTAAGTACAGTTGGTGTAAACTCAATTATTGCATTTCTGAAGATTCATCTTGCCCATTCCTTTTGAATAGAAGCTAATATTGTGATATTTGATACAAACTACAAAGTAATTGATTTGGTCTTGAACTATTTACCTATTTATTCTTCCAAGTTATGAAGCTTTGTAATAATCGGTTTGGGATTCTTGCATGTTAAGCTTTGGTTGTAATCCAGTTTGTTAAAATTGATTTCATAACTCTTTATTCTCTTCAATGCAACATGCCATGTTTTTCTTAAGGCCACGCCACTTTATGTTAAAAGCAACTGTGTCATTTGTAATGTGGTGGGAAATGAAACTGCCTCATGATTGTGTAATGAAATTGCTGCCTTTTTCTGTTTGAGTTTTGAGTATTTCTTGCCTGTAACCTGCTTCTTTTTAGTTTCTTGAGTTACGCATTTTTCCCTCACTTTTTGATGATATGTATTTGTGTGCAACTGTGTTTTGTAGGAATAAGCGCCCGGAGTTCACTGCATGGTTGGCAGAAATAAAGCAGGTATTCAATTTATGATCTTGTTTAGACACTTTTTTAGTTACATTCTCTTATATATTTTTACCCTGTTTTTAGTCGTTATGGGGATAAGAATGTGAAATGGCATCTGTTATAGAATTTACTATGAAATTCACACTTCTAGAGGTTCAAGAGTTCTTCACTCTATAACTTTATTTTTTATTTTTTATTTTTTTGGATGACCTGCATATCTGAGTTTTTGGCCCCACTAGTCCTGCAAAAATCTGCTAAACAACCCATTCACCCAATGGTGGTGGGCATGGCTTGTTGGAATTGTTTTTTACAAGAAAATGCCAATGGGAGGATTTGAACTTGTGTTTCACAAATGGTTCACATTACCCAATAACAATCGTTGTCTCTTCACTCTTTGCAAATTACATTTGTATTTTTAAAATGTCTATTGGTAAGGGATGTTGTTTTTCATGTTAATGGTAAGAGCAATTTCTTTCCTTGTGATGGCTAATTTTTGCACCCATAATCTGAAATTCCAGCATATAAATTTTTGGATATGTCTTTGCAGATAAATCTGGAGAGCCTTCCAAACTGGGAAGAGAAGCAGTTGTTCAAAGAGTAACTACATTAAGAAACTTGTGCATCATGTGTTCTCTCATTACTGACTTTGTTCACAGAACATGACTTCTACTATTTCTGCTCAACAACTTTTTTTTTTTTTTATTTTAAATATAAGTTCAGAATTTGATTCAATGTAAATCTTAATATCCTATGGTCAATGCGCAGATTTATGGAGGATCACAACACAGCTACATTTCCTTCCAAGAAGTAAGCCCTTCTGTAATTAATTATATAGAGTTAATATCCTATGGTCAATGTGCAAATTGTTCATTAATTGTTTAAGGTTCTGATGCTCATTCTTCCAAACAAGAAAATCAAAATCTTAAGATGTTAGTAGCTTTTAGCAATTATTTTTGTTTTTATTTTTTGAAGAAAGCATTTCTTTCCCCCACATAGGTATAGAAAGTAGGCAAACCGCAGCAAATAGAATGTTTTAAACCATTTCATTATTTTAGGAATTTGTTGTTGCAGGTCTCGCATAAGATTAAATGTTATTCCCTGCTAGTAACATCATTTACACATTTTTCTTTTTCATAATTGTACGTTTTTTGAGCTTATCTTTCTAAGATTATGAAACTATGAACATTTTCAATTCAATGTCATAAACAGTCTTTTTTGCTAATGCATGCATGTTAAAGGTGAGAAAAATAGTTCAAAATTGATGGTTGATGTTTTCAGGTATTATAACCTTGATGCTTATTACAAGCATAAAATGGAAAAGGAGAAGAAGAAGGGTGTCAAAAAGGTTCTGGAAACAGAGCGAACTGTTTTCAATGATGAAGAACAGCGTCGGTATGTTTTATTCCTAGAAGCTAGCTAGTATTATCTTTTGATTTGCTAGATAAACTTCACTGGTTTCATCCAAATTGGTACACGCATAAGTTTTCTGTGTTTGCCTGTCAATGTCATTTACTTTCAGGCAAGAACTGTTGCAAGAACGTGAGAGGCAAAAGGAAGAAGAGGTTGTATCCTTGAAGCGTGCTATGCAGAGTGGAATGGTTAGCTTTCGTTGTCCCAATAATATTAGCCTCTCCTTCTCCTAATCTATAAATCTGCAATAATTTGTGTTTCTTATTACCATCTGCATTTAAATTTCTAGGCACAAGCAATGAAAGAGCAAGCTCAGCTAAGGGAAGAGATGGCTTACCAGTACAAGCTTGGCAACTTTGAGGTGAGGACCCAGACAGGATGTGTCTAAGCTTGCTCCTGTTTATCATTCTCTCACAAATGGTTGATGTATTTCTTTTCTATATTTACAGGCTGCAGCTGCCATCCAGAGAAGGTTAGACCCAGATGTTGCTATGTAAGATGGAAACTAATTTTGATTGCTCCTGGTTTTTGTCGTACTCTATTGTCCACATTGGGAATTTGTTATTGGTCACAACCCCCTGCCTGGAGACTTGAGATTCTCAAGCCAAGAGAGAGCCTTCCTCAGATGTTGATGCATTCTTAATCTAGTTCACTAGGTTAGGAGTTCTGAGCCTAGGCGTCTGCTTTTCCTTTTTATTTTTTATCCATAGGAATGGTGAATTTTATCGCATCCGTATTACAGTAGATATTAATGGTAGTCGTAGATACTCCTACTCATGCAAGGAGATTTTGATTCCATCTAATGCTGAATTTTGAAAAAAGAAAAAGGCTAAAGTTGAATGTTAGAAAAGAAGGGTTGTTGAGACTTGAGAGCATCGTCTTTTCCACACAGGTACAATTTGTCATGTGCTTTTTGGCTGTTGGAACTTGGAATAAAGTCTGGGGAGTAAATATGTCTCGCAGGTGTGGATGCGGAGCCTTTGAATGTAGTATTATTAATCAATTTAGACAATCACAACTCTTAGATGTGAGCGTAGTCTGACGTTGTAATAAAGGAATCTAACGTTGGACTACATTCACATCTAAGAGTTGTGATTGTCTGAATTGATTAATAATACTTTTTTATCATTTATTATTAAATAAAAATTGTGCAGTTTAGATTATATTAAGGGATTAGTGCTTGTCTGTGCATCTCTAAAAAATTGAGAGGGAAAAAAAAATCTTAATTCATGTTTTAAAAATATAATATTTTATTTTTTTTCAATAGATATTTATTAAAACTACGTAATTTTAAAATAATATTTTTTGTAATTCATAAATAAATAAAACGGATAAATATTATTTTTTTATATTAAATTGTATATGAAAAAAATGGAACTCTAAAATATAAATAATGCAGAGTTGGGTAGAATTAAGGAGCTAGATCATGGATAACAAATCCATGGACAAAATGTGGAGTGTGGCAAAGACAATAGAAGCCCAGCTCACAACTTTGTCAGTAGTAGCGGCGCTAAAATATAAATAATGTATGTTTTGTTTCATGTTAATAATTTTTTGGTCATCTTTGTTTTACTAGGTTTAACTTATTAAATTGATACTCCCATCATGATGGCTTGTTTCATTATTGCCTGCTACTATTCTGTCTGGCGGTTCAACCTCTCTCATTCCTTCTTTTCTTCTTAATTAATTCATCTTCAATTTTCCACAAAAATTGTCTCCAAGTTTAAGATTGCATATATAAATTGAATAAAATCAAAAAGAATTTGTTTACCTTTTTTGGGTTGGAGATTTTTTTCTTAAGTGAGGAATGAGGAGTTGCATTTTTATTAGTTGTTTTTTTGAATGTAGAAAAGTTCATTACTACATGTTTTTAATTTTATATGAACTAAAATAAACAATTAGAGTCAATGAAGGAAAGAACATGACTTAGAGCTCTTATCAAGAGAATATGAAAATATTTTATATGGGAATGAATATGGGTTAAAGTTCTTGTTATGAAAATATAAAAACCTTTTATGTTAGTGGCAAAATCACTTAAATTAAAAATCTTTTATGTGAAAAAAATATCAATCGGAGTTCTTGTCATGAGAATATAAAATTTTTTTATATTAGTTGCAAAATCACTTAAAATACTGTAACTCCTCTACTATTTAATATTTTTATTTTTAAACTGTAAATCATTTTTTTAAGTTAATAATAACATCTGGGTGGTTGCATTCTTTTGATAATTTTTTGATAAAAAATCTTTTATTACTATATTAAGTGAACTTTTTTTTTGTCTTAAAATAATAGATATTTTTTTATGTAAAATTTATTTTAAAATAATAATAATTTTTTTATATTTTTTAAAAATAATTTTTTAATCTAACCTCATAATTATCTTTTAACTTTAAATATTTATTTTATCAAAAAAATTTATTTTTATTTTTTAAAAAATAATAAAATAGATAAAAGTAAAAACAGTCTCTAAATTTTTAATAAAATAAAAAACAGGTAATGTGGTATTACGAGTGGGGAGACAATGTACTAAAAAGAGCTCATCTTTGAATGTCCGAAGCCGAGCCAAGTGAAAGCGTCGATGTCGAAGCCGACAGACATGGATCCTTTTCACTTCAGTTTACAAGTAATTTTCTAAACTCAACATTAATTAATGTCTCTGTCTAAAGATCAAACAGAAAATTATTAAAATTATTCCAAATCTAAAACCCCAGTCCCCTCTCCATCATTCTCACTTCCTACCTTCTACTCCACACCACTGCTTCTCTCTCTTTCTCCAAAAGGCTTCCCCTTTACTCTCCCCTCAAAATTCCCTTTCACCCTCTGCATTCCCTCTGTTTCAGATAGATAAACCCTGTCCTCTGACGGTGGGCGGCCATGAGGGGTCCTTTGGGGGCTGTCATAGGGAGGTACCCATCAAGTGATGGGACTACCCAACTCGGAGGAATCATAAGGCACAACAGGAAATGCAGAGATATTGCATTTCTTGTTATCTTTATAGCATTTTGGGTTGCTATGATTGTCAACTCTAGCTTTGGGTTTAACCAAGGAAACCCATTAAGGTAAGATTTTTTTTTTTTTTTTCCTTTTACTAGCATTCCCAGTAAATACGCTTCTCTAATTTCCAAATGGGTATCTTTGTTTTGCTAAGGGTTTATCAATTTGTTGTTTTTATGGTAGGTTTTACTTTGTTTCGACTGGGTTTTCAATTTTGGCTCTGTTTCTGTATTGTATCTAATTGCATCTTTATTTTAGTAAGTTGGCTATTGCTCAGGCAAGATTTACTGAGTGAAATCTTGGTTATTTTTTCTGATGCCTATGGTCATTCATCTTTCTCCAGTATGATTGTGCTGTTTGGTTGCTAAGAAAATAATTTAGATTAAGAAAATGGAAAAATATGCTTGGGTGTCAGTCATGGTTTACTCCACTAGTTTGGGAAAAAAATTGGATTATTTCCCTTAGCAAGAAGCTGAGGTCAGTTACTAGGTCTTTTCAAATCAGTTGCTGGTAAACGTACTTGCAGTTGCTGGAAAAGGCAGGGCATTTGAAGCCACGCACTTCACTTGTATTAATATATAGGTTGATATGACATTCTTTTCACCTTCACTTATCCATTTTCTATTTTAATGAATTTGAGATTTTGGTATGTTGCTTGCAGGCTTACCTATGGGCTGGACTACAAAGGAAATGTGTGTGGTGACAAGCATGCAAACCCTGGTCTTCGTCAATTAGAACTTAGGTATTGGTTGAATCCAAACCAAGTTTATCAAAGTGGCTTGAAGCACAGCCAATTCAAATTAGCCAATGCCCGAAGTATATGCTTGTTTGATTGCCCTATTCCATCAGAAGATTCACTAAACTGGGTCTGTGATTATCCAGAGGGGGATATCCGCCTCTCGATGGTTGACTGGATTGATAGGAATTACGATTATTTTGAATTCCTTACACCAGAAATGCGAAACACTTCTCTTCAACTTCAGGGTCCATGTTATCCAGTTATCTTCCCAAGTGTAAATGGTAAGTGAACAATGCCAGATAGCTACTACAAAGTTTTTTCTTATGTGATCTGAAATGTTGACATGTTCTAGCATGTCATATATTTATCATCTTGTTACAGTATTTTTTGTATTCTTGTATTTTTCAGTTTATTGGAGTTGCCAATATATTGCGCGTGCATCAAACATGTCTTTGCGGCATTGGCAGCAGATGGGTGGGGTGAATATCAATGAGGATATTGTAATAGATAAATCAATTCACAGATCCATCAATTCACGGTCATCTGTCTTAAAGGTGCTGTAAATTCTGTGTTTTCACTTCTTTTGATTGTGAAATTATCAAAGATCCATTTGTAGTATGTTCTCTATTCAACTTTAGCCTTGTGCTTGTCCTCTCAGGGGGTGTAAGAAAGAGTTAATGCTTTGCCTTTGCTCTTAATTGGCACGTTAATTTTTTAACTCAAAGAAAAAGGCTTAGTAAAAATTAAGATAATGCTGTAGGCTCTTTAGAATATCTTTTGGTCCAGTAGAGAGTAATTGGGTAGTCTCCAATGCCTTGGCCATAGACTTCATTATTCAACCAGTACAATTTATCATGTTATGTTCTTCTATTGCTGTCAACTAGTTGGTTTTGCCCATAGTTCCTAAACAAGGTAGAGAGGATCAATCATCTTGTGATCTGATCCTCTCTACGAGGTTCCTGTGGAAAATTTTATTCTTAATATACGTTAAAGACAACTGATGTTCCTCTTTCTTTCAATTGCTCTATATGATTACATCTTTGGCATTCTAGAATCTGAAGTTCATACTATGTATTATTGCAGCGATACATGGCTGATATTGGGAAGTCATGGCCTGTACTGATAGTTTGTGGAGGACTGTTGCCACTGTTTCTATCAGTACTTTGGCTCTTAATGATTCGGCATTTTGTTGCTGCGATGCCTTGGATAACAGTTGCACTCTTTAACATTCTCATAATATCAGTTACAATGTTTTACTACTTGAAAGGTCAGAGGCATACCTCTTATTATTCTTTCTTGGCTGTATGATAGATGAAAATATGATCTCTAATACAATCTGTTCTGATCCTGTTAAAGCAGTGCTATTAATCCACAATGATCTCGTTTAGGATTTGTGTGACCTTATATCAAAGTGGACTATCCACTTTCTACCAGTTGGTGTCAGGTTGAATGCCTTGACATAACACCAAGCCAAGTTTTATGTTGAGATCACTAGGAATTTTGTTAACTCCATCAACTTTTTGCTGCTTTCTAACGTCACATATTACTCAATTTTTCAAGCCACTGTGGTCCTCAAATAAATAAATGAAAAAAGAACCTAATGCCCCCATCTACTCTTCTTTTTTTTTTTTCTTTTTTTTTTTAAATTTCTTTTATTCTAGTTAATATGGTTCTCCTCATGTTCATCCAAAGTGCCAACAGGTCAGGTTGATATTACAGAAAGAGGTCCTCTCAGTTCTTTGATCTTAGTAATTTGTTGCTAGCCAGTTGGATCTTGCTCAAATTGTCAACTTATCTTGTTTACTTAAAAGCTAGAAGCACCTTCAATGAAATAAAATGCTTAATTTATCTTGTCTCTCTTGCATTTAGCTGGATGGATTGGGAATGATGCTGTTTCTCCTATCATTGGTGAGCATGATCCATACACACGGGTTTCTGGACGGGTGAGTTATCATTTTCTTTGAGTTCCTTTTGTATGGAAGCTGTTATAAATCTTACTTTTATATATGTTTGTTATTTACCAAAAACACTTGCATCTTTCAGGAACTAAATCACCTCCGTGTTGCTGCCATTTTTATGTCATTTGTTATGGTTGTTTCCATCTTAACGTCAATTGCAATTGTCCGCCGCATTCTCATGGCAACATCTGTCCTCAAGGCAAGTATAATCTGATTATTTTAGAGTGAGAAAAAGGGTGTTTCGATTCTAGAAGTTAGAAGCCACCAAGGATAGATCTTTTAGTAGTTCACATATGCCTGCATCATTGCTTGTTTCCATATTATTATTCTTTAGTGATTAATCAGGTCTTTGTGTTAGGAATTGTTTTCTCCTTCTAATATTGCAATTTATGGGAATTTGGTTTATGTGTTTGCAGGTGGCAGCAAAGGTCATACGGGAAGTTCAAGCTCTAATAATTTTTCCCATCATACCATATGCAATTCTTTCAATATTTTACATGTTCTGGATATCAGCTGCTCTCCATCTGTTCAGTTCTGGTCAGGTTATTCAAAACAACTGCAATGCCAACTGCTGTGCTTATGATCTTGTTTCAAAACGGGTAAATTGTGATCGGTGCTGTGGTTATGGCATTCGGTACACCCCTCATATTGCTGTTGCCATCTTTTTCCACTTGTTTGGATGTTACTGGGCAACGCAATTTTTTATAGCATGCTCTTCTACTGTGATTGCGGGTTCCGTGGCTTCCTATTATTGGGCTCGTGGTGAAATATCAGTAAGTTACTAACTATGCATGATACTAATATGCATAAATATTTAGTTCAAAAGTAGTAAACTTGTAGGCTGTAGGTTATTTGAGTTACCATGTTGGAGCTCAAGCCATACCATAGGGGATCACACTGAAAAATTTTTAAATCTGGCAAAAAATTATTTTTCCAATTGTTTACTTTTTTTTTTTTTTTTTTTTTTCTGGGAGATTTAAAAATGCTTGTTGAAAACTTGCTTTTAAACTATTTGGCTATATCTCACCCGATTGGAAACTAAGGAATTTTGTGTTTTACTGTATATAAGTTTACCATTTGTTTAAAGATCAAAGGCTTGATTGTGACTGACTTGCATTTCTTTATTGTCTGATCCCTTTCTATGCTTCACTTTTGCAGCCAGAGATTCCATTTCTTCCGGTATTTTCCTCGATGAAGCGGCTAATACGATATAGCCTTGGTTCTGTAGCTCTTGGCTCCCTAATTGTATCCTTTGTGGAATCAATTCGTTTCATTCTTGAGTCAATTCGTCGTAAGCTGAAAGTTGCTGATACCACAGCACATAGTGGATTCAGAAAGATGGCGTTTCATACTTCACAGGGATGTTTGAGATGTGTTGAGTGGACAATCAAATCTGTAAACCGCAATGCCTATATAATGGTAATGTAATCTTCAATTATTTATCTATACTTTCTGAAATAGGCTATACCAGTCTTTGTACATTCATAATTTTAGCAAGGGCAGAATATTAAAGAACGAGTCCAAGTGAAAGCTATCATACAATCTTGTTCTTTTCAGCACTCTAGAAGCTTATTTGGGGGTTTAGCATAAGGTTGTCATCAATAGCTAGGAACCACATACAGAAGATCTGATGTATTTTGAGTTTTCGTTTTATGCTCTCTCTAGTTTCTTCACCGTGTTCGCTTCTGATTGTTGCAGATTGCTATAACTGGAAAAAGCTTCTGTAGGGCTTCTGCAATTGCCACCGAATTGATAATGAACAACATCCTTCGAATTGGGAGAGTGAACGTGATTGGAGATGTTATTCTGTCCCTCGGAAAATTGTGTGTCAGCCTTTCAAGTGCTGTTTTTGCTTTCCTCATGTTGGATACCCACAAGTATAGGTCTTCTCATAACAGGATCTCGTCCCCACTCTTCCCTGTGCTGGTATCTTATACTTCACCACTGTCTCATATTACAACCATGTCCTGCTAATGAATTCTGCTGTAAAATTCGCTAAACTGTAGGCAGACACAAGATTAATTCTGCTGCAGTAAACTTGTGAGACTACCACGTTCCAGTATAGTATTCATCTCCTCGACTATCATTTGTGTTTTTGCAGGTTTGTTGGGGTCTTGGCTACGTAGTTGCAACTCTCTTCTTTGCAGTGGTGGAGATGTCAATTGATACCATAATTCTTTCTTTCTGCCAGGACTCAGAAGAGCATCAAGGAACGGCTCAATATGCTCCTCCCCTTCTGATTGAAACCCTCAATGACCAAAATGAGATGCAGAGACTTACCCATTGACCCTACTACATCTCTTCAAATGTATAATTTTACTTTACCAAATCGCCTCCATGGATTTAATGAATCTTTCTAATATCATATACTGCTCTTGCATTGCATTTCTATCATTTTTCTTTTTTTCCATTGCTCAACTCTGCAGGAATTTTTAAACTGTCTGTGTGTATGTCTGATGATAGTCATTTTGAAGGTTTGTCTGACTGTTAATCATTATGCAAAGCAGAGGTTAACGCAGTAAGTGCTTGCAAGTTAGTACTAACGAATGTTAATCATTATGGCTGGCACCTTGCCAACAAAATGACCCTTGATCTTTGGCTCTATCAACGGCAGGACCGGTGCTCTATTTTCCATGGATGAATAATCAACTGAAGTAGTGAATTGATGAAAATACGGAATTTTGATTTGCGTTAAGATTAAACGTTTAAATTTATATACTTCTATAGTTTTCCCTCCATATGTATCATTAAAAAGATGTTAAATGATTGCAGTTGACCTTCGGGCTGAGTGACTTCTGATAACTTTAAAGTGCATCCTTTTTTTTTCTTGGACAAGTTCGAACTCGCCTCATGATAATTTTGTTCAAAGAAAAAAAAAAAGATGTTAAATGATTGGGTCTCCGAGTATAATTATACTTTATGGCTAATGACAAGAAAGTGTGTCACAAAGCAAGCAAGACAATCCCTATGAAAACAGTCACATGTCAAGGCATAATATACTAGATTAAGAATATTTGTTTATAAAAACTCAATCTAAAAACTGGACTAAAGTGAATAGAATTAAACTTTGCAGGAAATTTTGTGATTACCCCAAAAATGATACTGCCTCGGCGCCCCCAATTTTTCCTTAAACCCCACCACAGCATGGCATCACCGCCTAGCCCACCGCTTATTACTGCTGACTGCCGAGGAAACACCCTCAGCTAAAATTTTCTGAGGCAAATCACTGCCCATCCATTTCTTTTTTTCATTATTATCCTCAAGGTACTTCCTTTTGACACCAATTGATAATTATTGGTGTTCTGTTATTCTTGATTCGAAGATGGGTTTTCCCCCATTTCGTTATATTCAATCTTGATTTCATGTGATTTTCTGCTTCCTCGTCCGTCTGTGCCAAGTAGCGTAATAGTTGTTTTCCCCCCCAATTATAGACCAGATTCTAATATTGTCTTTGCTTTTGGAAGTTGGGTTTGAGTCCATTTCAATCTCTATACCCCATTGATATAAATATTCGGTTCTAATTTGCTGAGAACATATTTGGGAATTTCGTTTTTTCTATGTTCTTCATTTCCCAGAAAGGGAGAAAAAAATGGGAAATGGAGAAAAAAATGGAATATAATTTGGAACCTTTTAGTTGCCAACAAAAATTTTTGTTTATTTGGTTCTGATTTGCTGAGAACATAGTTGTGACGTTCATTTTTGGTATTGTTCTTCATTTCCTAGAAAGTGGAGAAGAAAAAGGAATGTAATTTGGAACCAGAAAGAACCAGAATTTTTATAGACTGAAATTGATATCCAAGTTCGACCGAGGTAGCATTAAAAACTTATTTGCAGCACTATATAGTTGTTTGCGTTCAAGTAGCCTTTTTCCTCTTTTTTGTCATGTATTAGAGCTGGAATGTCTCATGTGAACTCCTTTTTTGAATTAAATTCAACTTGGCAAATCTAGAGTCAATCTTATGATGCTTCTTACTTCTTTTTCTGCATATATGATGATAATGTTTTAGATCTTATTGAAAATTGTTTAGAGGAATAATAGAGATGAAGTCACCCTCTTCACAGAATTGTAAATAACAACATTATGTTTGGGAGGAATCTATATTCCAGATGGGAAACCTATCAGCTTTGAACTTTCTTCCTGTCACTGTCCTTGGTTCTTGTCTTGTTGAGAGATTAAAAACAAGTCCAGTTGGTTTGAGTTAGGAAAGTGAATCTTTACTTAACCCGACTATCAAACTTGGCAACAATGTGAAGAAGTAGAATCACGAATGAGACTATTACTCAAAATAATTTTCTTAGTTTTTGCAGCCAAAGTGTTGGAGATATGGGAACCAGAGGAGTAATTGGAGATAAGTGGTCCATGAGGATTCTCTGGGTCTGTGCAATTGGAAGTGCAATCAGTATTCAATCCTACCTTTCTTTTGAGAATTTTGCTTTTATTTCGATGATTGTCAAACCCATATAATCAGATATTCAGTCTTTTCATCAATCATCATAAATGTGTTCTCAGCTATACATAGCTTATGCTGATAGTTACCATGATTTCTTGGTTTTGTAGGCCTGTATATGGTTGCTATAGGAAGACAAACACAGAACAGGGAACGAATGACGGCTGAAAGTTTGAAGGCCATGGAATCTGAAGGTAGCGGTGAAGAACTTTGAATCTTGACGTGCTTAAATGTTTTGTAAATCACTAATAACAACTTGTTAAAGACCTCCAGATTTTACATTAGGATTCAGGATCACCTTTTTGTTGAGAATGTTTCTCACGTATGGATTCTGTAAATGATCCGTAAAATGGTTTTCATCTATTGAACTTAATTGATTGTGACATCATTAAACTAGAATTTTACAAGTTAGAAGAACAACACATAACACTATCATACATGTGGTTTGGTGGTAGAGTTACTTGTGCTCTTAGTCATAGATTTAGGGTTTAATCTTTTTTTTTTCTTTTCTTTTTGTGGTCCATCTTATTATAAATTGTACAAAAGAAAATGACCTTCCTTTATTTTTAAACCCCTTTTCACTCAATTCAAGGCTTGAACTTGAGATTTTCAATTTGGAGTTTTAAACTTTTAATCATTGAGTCATTTTGGGGTTTTAGGATTTAATTATTAGTCACTACATATATATATATATATATATAAATGAAGAACATGTAAATTATAAGAATATATATTCATACAAGTTCCAAGATCCGTGATTTGATGAAGGGAACCAACTCAACAACAATGTTATGAATATCCTTAGCCATTTTGCCTTTTCTCACCCATTTACTAGCTTCACTATATGTGATAAGCCTTGGTTTAAGGCATATTAATGTAAAGCACCAGAGTTGGAAAATGATGGCTGCACCAACAAAATTTATGTTGATGCTTTTTTCTCTTTTGTTATGGCAAAGCTTCACCTTTGCTGACCAAGTTCCACCTTCTCCCAAGGAAAATGAATGCCCTCTAGCAGCAATTGGTTGCACCCTTTATGGACGCAAACTTGGTGCTGCCTCTGCAGGCTTTAGACTCATATGTCCTTCAGAGGATGCGTCCCCTACCCCAGCCCACTCCAACAATATGCAGGGAAAGGGAATGGACTAGAGTAGTCCACAGGCATTTCGAAAACCATGCCCAGAGATCATAGCCATCCATGATTGATGGATCAAAGGAACGAGGGCCACACTGGGTGGCAAGTTGTTAGACCATAATATGTTAGTTCTTATGTCATTTTACGTGTATATGGTTCTAATAAAACGATAAAATTCATTTAAAGACAAGTGGCAAGATCGTTTACCTTGCATTATGTTATGTAATAAGATTTTATTACTAAAAAAATTGTCAAGAAATTATTTTTCTAATAATAACAACATTGAAATCTCTAGAAGGTTCTAGGTTCTAGTTTTCTTTCTTGAAAATTCCCTTGGAAATGTTTTCCATCCTCTATTTTTATTAAAATAGAGCAAAACTGGGATTGACAATTTTAATACTGAAGTCTACATTAAAACAAACATCATGTACGTGTTCCTTGTACTATATTAGTCTATACTACAACTTACAACATTATAAGTAATCTGTGAACATTAAACATGGATTCTTAACGTAAGGGAAATGGAAAGAAATTGTTTCACAGCAGAAACAAGCTCAAGCCTTTCCATTTGATTCCCATAACCTTCTAAAAACAAGGTGAAGCTTACAAATAATTAGTGGTATTCACTTTGTTTTCCTTCCTCAAACTTTTAATTCATAAATGGATATAACTGTATCATTCTCTCCTGGCTGGCATTGATGATGATCTTGGAATCCATTCTGTCTGTAAGACGGACATAGATGTTGGAGAAATAGAAGCAGAGGGGCGGAGTAGAGGTGTGGTAGCCCTACTTGAAGTTTCATTAGCAACTAGAGTAGCACTGGATATGGCAGCAGGTGGTGGTTGTAACTCTATCTCAGTGTGTGTACCAGTGCCAGTTTCGGGAACATCAAGTATCTGGTGATCGTCTTCTTCCAGTGACATTACTGTGCTTGTGTCTGTATGAATGGTTGAATCATCCGTGTAATGCCCATGCCTCCTCTTTCTCCTTGCTGCCTTTCCCCATCCATGCATTGTCTCTCTTATCCTTTGTGGAATTAATGCTGCTTTATAGTTCGTTCCCATCTGAAAGGGAAAGAGAATTTAGATGATGCAAATAGAAAAATCACCAGCCACGAGGGTTTTCATATTGAAGTATCTACTCGGGTCACCAAGATGAAATTAATTCATCAAGTTAGAATTTTACAAGGAATGCCATACTCTAAGCAATAAATTCATCAACTTAGCTCACGTATGGTCAGCATTCCAAGCTTTAAACCAAACAGATTCTCCAATGAACACTAGCTTCAACTTACCCTATGCTCAATAACCTTTTCCTGTAACTTAACAGATTATTGCTATCAATAATAACATCAGGCAATTTTGAAATTCTCCTAGAGCAACCATTAGGTAAATATGTCAATTAAGTCTCTCATTTTCCTTCTCAGAGTTTCAGATATAGGATGTGAAGAGAGGAAACGAAGATTGGAAGAAATCACATTGGGATTGAGGATTGAACCTTGGCCCAACTGTTAGAGGTCTGTATGACTCTGGAAATATCTATGGATTGATGTTTAGCCATCCCCAATGGCATACTTAGATAAGTTTTAAGAGCCGTAAGATCTAAATATAATACCAATTCCACATTATACCAAGAGCTTATGTCAGCTGGTCCCTCTTGGACTTCATATTTATCACATGCTCCATCTTAATTCTAATATTGTTTCCAAGAATATGAGAATATTTAGAGATAAATATAATACCTGGGTAACCAAAGCATAGAGTGGCAAAGTGCTGTAGCTACATAGGAACTGTCCAGCAAACCTATGAGACGAGGACAACAGAATAAGGAATTATAATAAATGAAAGATAGATAATGAAATCATGACTAACTGAAATACATGTGTACCCCAAAATAAGTCGTAGGTAAACCAGCAAATGATTCTGAATAAAGCAAGAATTATATCCAAATTGCCACTGCATAAATATGAAAAAAGGACAGTAATGTTAATACACAGGCAGATTATGTCATTCCACGTTGAATCTTTTTTTACATTTGTTTTCTCCTTTACAGTTCCTGGTTCTTATGATTTTGTCTTCTTTTCCTGGGTGCTTCATAATATATTATTTTAATTAACTTTCCCAAGAGCATAATAATCTTTTAAGTGAGCCCATAGCAATGTAGAAACTAAACCCAGAAGCAACTTATTGGAAAAAGTCAAAAGTGCTCCTTGTGTTGAGTTATGTGAATCTGATTCAATGGCAACATGAAACTGGTGAAAATTGAGTTGGAAAACTTTTTTCAGCAATGTAAATAGATACCAATCATGGAAGAGAAAGTACCCAAAACCAAAAGAATGAAGCCAGCTCAAATGCATTCTGCACAAAAAAGACATATTAGTTCCCCTTAAAAATAAAAAAAAACACACACACACACTTGAGTGATGGTTGGGGCTGAGGGAAGGGGCATAATTGGTGAACAACTTAAAACTTGGTTGAAATTCATCATATGTAAAAAATGATAACCTGGAAAAGAGTAAAATGAATGAGGGACAACAACAGTTTTGGCTTATTGAACCAGAAAAGTTCATCTCTTGGCCTCAACTTTCCCGCAAAGGTTATGCCAGCATTTTCAAGTGCCAGTGTTGCAATAACATGCTGTAGCTTTGCTCCCACAAGAAGAACCAGCTGTTGATATACATTTAAGGAAATAAGAATAGCATGAAGTGATTGATTAAAATTTCATCCATCCAAGATTGGTAAAAACTAAGGAGTCAATGTCTAGTTACAGTCTTGGTGTTAAAGAGCATCTAACCTAAAACCTACTGGCAATAGGTAGAGAGGATAAACTTATATTCAAGGCCACTAGAAACCCTAAACTTAACCAGAGTGGGCTTTTCTCCCTGAACACCCCCACTTATGTGTAGGGCACTGTAGAAAAGCAAAAAGAACAAGCCTCAGGTGTGGAAGACAAAAGGGCTTAATAAGAAATGAGGTAAAACAAAAACTTAAGATCCAATACCATGTTAAAGAACATCCAAACTAAAATAAATTCGCAAAAGGTGGAGAAGACCAATTTATAATTAAGGCCACAGGAAGCCCCAAACTTAACTGATGTGGACTTTCCCACTTAATCTTGGTATTTTTCTAAAATGACTACTGTCAAGACTTGAATGTTGAAAGTATTACGGCTGTAAAATTGTACCAGACAATGCCACATTCCACACAAATTTGTTCTGAGGAATATCCCAAGCTAGACATTTCTCTAGCTACACTTCATGTCAATATAACATTTAACAACATAACCTGTTCCAGTGGCTTGCAATGGTCAATTGGCTGGCCAATGCAAATGTGTGTACCATCTATAAGATCTACTTATCTGAAAATGGCATGTAGATAAATGCTGAAACTAAGAAACAAAAAGAAAGAAACTTACAGTAATGGGAATGATAGCAATCCAGAAATATAGGTTAGACCCTGTAACAAGGGAAGAAAGTGAATGTGAATTTAGCATGTTTGTAAATCTGTGGATAATCTGATCATTCAACTATCTGAAAGTGAGATAGACAGCAAGATGAGAACTGCATCGCCATAAATTGTTGAAGCTTATAACTCTCCTTTAAGAGCAGCAGATAGCATTTTCATTTCTTTCTTGCAAGTATATGGATAAGAATACAGCCAATGTGAGTATAGAGAATGTGCACCTTTCACATTGAACAGCATGAAGGCAACAACAAATCCCCACAGAGGGCCACTGCAAGAGAATGAATTAACAGAACTTTAGCTGGTGTATTCTAAAATGAAAATTCATAACATCACCCAAACATAGAAACAAATTCTAAATCCACAACCAAGTTAAATGCCTTTTAATAACAGCATAACGAATCTCTTAGTGGCAAGAAAAAGGTAAATATGGGATAAGGAAAACTCAGATGATTTTAAGTGCATCAGCAATTCAGCATTAATAGATTCAGCATTTCTTTTTCATTCAAAACATGACATGGCTCTGTTCATATTGCAACCAATCAGTTGTTTCTTTTTTTTGGCATAAATGCCTGCCAAGGAATCTATTGACAAGTACAGTTCAGAGTGTATTGCTAAAATGTGGTTTGTGAGACCAGCTTCCAGAGGCGT